CCTTATTGCTCCCTGCAACTGCCTGATGGGAGGACGGAGCCAGGAGGTGGCTGGTTTCTGCTCCCAAGGAACAAGGGATAGGACAAAAGGAAACAGCCCCAAGCTGCACCAGGGGTGGTTTAGACTGGGTGTTAGGTACAATTTCTTCCCCAGAGGGTGCTCAGGCATTGGAACAGGCTGCCCAGGGCAGTGGTGGAGTCACCGTCCCTGGAATTGTCCACAAACTGTATAGAGAAGTACCTGAGTGACACAGTTTAGTGGTTGGCCTCGGCAGTGCTGGGGAGCAGTTGGACATGGTGATCTTAAGCATCTTTTCCAGGTTGCCATTTCAAGTACAATACATTCTATGATTCTATTGTGCAGAAAGCCTGGCTGGTGAGGAAGAGCTGCCAAGGCTGCATGGGTGAGCGGACATGGGAATCCAGGGTCCTCATCAGGGCAGAAAAGCTTGAGGTCAGGATGAAGAGTGGCTTCCCAGGAGGTGAAACTTCTCCCAAACCTATGCATGTGGATGGAAGTGGAGCTGGGTTTGGTAAATACCTGGGGATCCTGCACAACCTGAGGAAAACAAGTCAGGGGCAGGAACCTTTCAAGAACAAAGGGATTTGCAAAGAGCCAGATGTGGGGTCAGCACTCAGCTGGATGCTCCATGCTGCCGTCATGAGCACTGGTGAGCAGCCCTGCCACTCCAGCCACAGCACCTTTGGAGCAGAGAGGTCCCACCAGGAGCTGGGGAGTGGTTTGTGCTGTGCCACCACCCAGCTGAGATGTAGAAACCCCCTGCAGATGTAGGATCAAAGCCTAGGACTCAGGCTGATCCCACCAATGTGTCATCAGATGCATGGAATGATGGGCACAGACTGTCACGCATGTTTTACACAGCAAAACACAAGGAGATCCCCTACAGAATTCCTCAAGCATGGCCTGAATTATGTTGGGGAAAAGGGGTGGGAAGTCCTAAGGGGGAGAAATGGGAAAAGATCCCAGCACAAGTACTTAAAGTGGCTCCTTGAGCAGTTGTGGCTCAGATTTGCCATGCTGTGGGAAATATCTCCATGCTGGGCTTTGGTAGAACCGATTTTCCATGCGCTGCACTTGGGGAAGGACCATGGGTATCCTTCCCCAAGTGTTGGGTGCAGGAAAGGCTTCCTGGACCTGAGCCTGGCTTAGCTGAATCACAGCCACCGGAGGATCTGCCCTCTGTGGAGAAGAAAGCCACAGTGACAAGAGCTCTCACTCAGCAAAGTCCAGTCAGAACAAGTAGAACATTGCGAGTTCAGTGGCAGGACACAAATATTTGATGCTGGGAGTAATTAATCACTGTCTTCTGTGAGACAAATTTTGACATTTTGGGTCAAAATGAGAGCGAATTCCAGGCAGTACAATGGCCTTTGTCATCCCTGAACCGCCTCTAGCCCCTAACAGGCTCCAGTGTCCCACATTTTCCCTGTGAAGAAGGATGGACCCACCTCCATCCCAAGGACTCCTTGAGGACATGGTGTGGGAAAGAGGGAGCCCCATCTGCTTTAGCTAGTGAGGGACATTTCCAGAGCTTCCTTTAATGTGGCCTTGATAGACTATGACAGGTACCCAGACCACAGATGACATCCATGTGGGTCCCACCCCCATAGTCCCCCCCTCCTGAGACAACCTGGACAATTCCACGTGGCCTTTGTGAGGAGGCACAAGTCCCTGCAGACAAAAGTGCCCTGTTGGGTGCTTGCCTGGGTGGTGATAATAAGGAGATAATAGCTGTGGAAGAAGGACTTGCTGTTTTGGAGAAGATTAAGTATCTGTGGGAGCAGTGTGGATGAATCATATCCCTCATGGGCTCAGAGCCCCTGGAAATGGCACTTCGAAAACAATGTCGTGAATCTTCTGCAGATGAGATTAGGGAGTGGAACAATTATCTCAAAACCTGTTAGTCATGGGAGGCTCCACGGAGCTGGAGGAACAGCCTAGGGCAAGGGGAGCACTAGGAAGATGTGGAGTGCGTCTCCACTGCTGTGGACCTGAGTGAGCAGCCCCAGTGAGGGTGTGGGAGGTGGAACCAGCCCCGCTCCTCTGAAGAAGGTGAGCTGTAATTAGCAGAACGGGTAAGGAAAAGCTCAAGTAGGTCAAAAGGTAATGGGGCTATCACCAGCATTTCCTAACAGCACAGCACAGCTGGGAGGCACCCTCTGCTGTTGAGCAATGGGAAGATGAACAAGGCCAGGCACTGTCTTCAAGGGAATAGCTACCAAGGTCACCCTAACGGCATGCCAGCCTATTAGGGAAGAGCTGGGGACAGCCAGGGTGACCAAAATGTGCTGTTGATCCAGTCCCACCCCACCAGAGCGTTCATGGGGAGCCCTGACTGCAGCTGACAGAGAACATCATGGCCACCTACAGCCCCTCCTCAGGTGTCCCTCAGGAACAGCATGCTAAGACCATGCGTGAGGAGCTCTGGAAGCAATGGATGGATGGACACCCAACCCAGCTCTCAAGGGAGTGCAGGAATTCATGCTGCAGCTTGGGAATGGCCACATCTACCCTTTCTGGAACACCGTCACTGGTATAGACCCTATGTTCTGACTGTCTCTGTAAAGGCACCGTGTCCCCAGCCCTGCTCCCGTGCACACCCCACCAGCTCTGGCTCTGCTGGAGGATGCTTTCTCTGGAGACCGTGTCCTCGAAAAACAACCTTTATCCAAAAGGATTTCTCCAGTCCTGGTGAAGCAATGGATGGGGCTCAGCCTTCTGGCCACCTCCATCTTTTCCACCCAGTTCAGCAGCCCAGTGCCACAAGCGAGCAGGATCCTGTGGGAGAACCCTCAGCCATACTGTTGGGAACATCCCTCCTCCTCCTCTACCTTGCCAGCATTCCCAACATTCCCCTGCCAGGAACATCAGGGCTGTGGACCCAGCCATGTCCCACCACCACACCCCAGCAAAACCACCCCAGCCTGTTTGACACAGCATTTCTGCTGCTGCTGAAATGTGGAGTTTGTGCCAGTACCAAGGGGAGTTGTTCCCAGGAAGGATGGCATGGATATCCACTGTCATTGCCAGGGCTGGCAGAGCCCGGTTCCTCTGGAATCAGAGACTAGTGTTGATGCTGGCACGTGAAAGCATCTCCTGGAGGGCATCGAGGGTCATGCCCACAGCAGGATTACCAAGTACGGAGGCTTGGTAAAATATTAAAGCGGGTGCTTAATAAAGCGAGCCCAGCGGCAGCAATTCCTGATGTAATAAACCTCAGAAGGAGAGGACTTTGCCTCTCCAGACAGGGTGATATGGGGAGCTCCTGCTGGCACTCACTGGAGATGGCACGGACCTGGCACCAGCACTGCATGGTGAGGCTTCCCACAAGCCTCATGGCACCAGCCAGGGAAAGCCAACATTTCAGTGCAGCTCGCCATGCTGCAGCCCCACAGTACTGCGGGGTAGGCAGGATGCTGTCCGCCCTGGGTGGGGGATGAAGAGCAGGATGCTGAGGAGTGGTTTGGGAGCAGATGGAAAGGGATTCACACCGTACCTGACTGCTCCTGGCACAGGGAGAAACGGAAGTGTGGCTGGACACAGCACTGGGACCTGGGTGGGAGGTGTCCATATGGTGTCCATGTGCTGCTTTCCCAGCAGTTGAGCAGGTCTGGGGGCACCATCCTGTAATTGGAGACACCAGTGGGGGGGGGTCCCTGGGGGCACTGTCCCCTGTGCTCCCACTGTCCCAGTGGGATGTGACCGCTGGTGGCACTGGTCTTGGCTTTGACAGCAGGCAGGGAAGGCACCCTCTCACCAAGCACTGCTGCTTGAAGCCAGGAAGCTCTGCCTGGCATGAGCACCAAGCCATGCCAGGCTTAACCAAGCTGAGCTGAGCTGTGCCATGCTGAGCCATGCCATGCTGAGCTGAGCAGAGCTGTGGCTACCTGTGTAGGGTGAATACCCTGAGCTGTGCTGAACTGAGCCAAGCTGAGCTGTGCTGGGGTGGCATGACATCTCAAACCGTGCTGAACCAAGCTGAGCCAAGTCATGCCGTGTTGAGCTGTGCTGAACTGAGCCCACTTGAGCTGTACCTGAGCTATGTTAAACTGAGCCAAGCTGCACTGAGCTGAGCCATGCTGAGCTGAGCCATGCTCACCTATGCGGCATGATGTCCTAAGCCATGCTGTAGATGGTATGATGTCCTGAGCTGTGCTCAACTGAATCATGCTGAGCCAAGCTAAACCATGCCATGTTGAGCTAAACTGTGCCATGCTGGGCTGGGCTGTGCCTACCTAAGTGGCATCATGCCCTGAGCCATCTTGAACAGAGCTAAGCCATGTTGTAGGTGGCATGATGTCCTGAGCTATGCTGAACCGAGCTGAACTATGTCTACCTGCACAGCAACATGTCCTGAGCTGAGCTGACCCAAGCTGAGCCAAGATGAACTGTACTAGGTAGCACAATGTCCAGAGCTGTGCTGAGCCAAGCCAAGCTGAGCCGAGCTGTGCCTGCCTGGAGGGGCATCATGTCGTGAGCTGAGCTGAACTGAGTTATGCCTGCCTAGGTGGCACAATGTCCCAAGCTCAGCCACGCTGAGGTGAGCCGAGCTGAACTGCTCCCTACCGACGTGGCACAGTGTCCCATGCTGTGCTCAGCTGAGCCATGCCTACCGAGATGGCATGATGCCCCGAGCTGTGCTGGGGCGAAGCAAGCCGAGCCGAGCCGAGCCGAGCCGAGCCGAGCTGAGCTGTCCCTACCTGGGAGGCACCAAGTCCTGAGCAGAGCAGAGCTGAGCTGAGCTTACCGCGGTGACACAGCGTCCGGAGCCGAGGCTCGCCGAGCGTCCGGAGCGCGCCTGTCCCGACGGGCTCCTGCGGCACCGGCTCCCGTGTCCCGCTCCGATGTCCCGGTGCGCCGATGCCCCAGCGCGGACCCTCCCGTCTCCCATTGGCGGTGCGGCCGCCGGCCCCGCCCCTTTCCCCCTGCCTGGGCGGTTATAAACGGGCGCGGCGGGGCCGGCCGCGGTGGCAGCGGCGGGGCCGGGGCCCGGGATGGAGCCGGGGCTGGAGCGCTGGGCGTACGGCGCACTGTGGGCGGCGCTGGCCGGCAGCCTGGCGCTGCGGGCGGCGCGGCGGGCGCTGGGGCCGGGCCGGGGGCTGCTGCTGCCGCTGGCGCTGCTGGCCGCGCTGCAGAGCCTGTGCCGCGCCTGCCTGCCGCTGCCCCTGGGGCTTGCCCTGGCCGCCGCCGCCGCAGGGCTGCTGCTGTGGCGGGCAGCGCCCCGCAGGCTGCTGCCGGCCGCGGGCAGAGCCGTCCTGGTCACAGGTGAGTGCGGGCACACGCGGTCTCGGCGCCCCGACGGCCGCAGCGGGGAGCGGGACGCACCGCGGGCACCGGCACGGTGCTGGCTGCGGTGTCCCGAGGCTGTCACCCCGCGGGGGAAGCGGCCCCGCCGCGCATCACTCGTCCTCCTCCTCCTCCACGTCCAAGCAGAACCGTCCAGGGTGTCCCTTCTCTTGCCCCCGTCGTAAAGCAAGGAGGTTTCAGGGAGCTGCGTTGGACCCTGGAGCAGCTCCGCCGCTCGAGCAGTCACCACGCTGCCGGGAGCTGCTTCCTCTGGAAGCTGGGAGATAGGATGGGACATGTGGTGGGGCTGGCGCAGAGCCGGGCAGCTGGTTTGGGAGCACCTCGGCTGGCCCAAGGGCCTCCCCTCCGGAGCCATGCTTGTTCTTAGAAAGCTTCTCGTAGTATTTCTGGAGGCTACAACGGAGCCCAGGGCTGAGCACCACTGTTCACCCAGAGCTCCATCCCAGGAGCTTACAGCGACAAGGGAGGCTGTTTTCCGTCCTTGCAAGGGGCATGCTTGGGAAGCGCTGCTCCACTCCGACCACCTCTTTGGGCTGCCTTGCACAGACCTCCTCCCTGGGGAAGGTGACTCTGCGGGACATGCGCTGTGCTCCCAGCCCAGGCTTTGCACAGCTCTGCCCTGGTGGCTGAATCTGTTTAGGATAGCTTGGTATATAAAGGTTTTTTACATACCTTTCTCCTCGCAGTGGGACTGGAGGGTGATGAAGCTAGGCTGGGGTCAGCAGGTGCTGTGCTGTGAGATGATGGGTGAGGAGGAAGCACTGGGGCCAGGGTGATTGTTGCTGCTGGTGCGCTGGGAAGGTGCTGCTGGCTCCGCATGAATGCAGAGCAAAGGGGAACTTGTGGGCACGACCTTGGTGGTGCTCCCAAGGACAGGATCCTGCATCCTGGTGGGGATGGTTTGGAACCACAGGTTGGAAAAGGGGGGCTGTATGTTTCTTAGCTGGGTCTTACGGTGGGGAGTGTTTGAGGAGAGAGCTGAATGCTCCATCCAACTCAAAGGGCTCTGCGGTGTTGGTGAGAAGCAAGGGGAGGCCTTTCTGGAGGAGGAAGCTGGGATGAACAAGGCAGTGGATGAATGGATGATTCAACTGAGTGAAGGTCAAAGCCTCAGCAGGGCAGGGCTGCCTGGGGAGGACGTACCTGACAGCCATGTGCTCGCAGGTGCCCTGTGGCACACCGGGTTTAGCCAGCCCTGGCTCGGTGGCACTGCCTGTATAATTAGTGAGTCAGTGTCTGGAACAAGGTGTTCTTGCCCTGGTACGTCGAGGTGACACCTCTGCAGCATTTGCTCTCGGCTGTGAATATTTTGTGGTTTTACAGGTTGTAGGTGCAGGCAGTGGTGCAGGATCATCACTGCTCCAGCAGGTGCCTGCCCAGGGGCAGATGCAAGGGCTGCTCTGCCCAGGGTGGCATCCCTAGCTGGAGCATTTGCAGAGCAATTAGCCTGATTCCTTTGCAGATTAATCTGGGACACCTCCTGGCAACTGGCTATTGAGGCACTGCTAGTATCTCTTGTGGTAGCAGCCAGGGAGGATCGGTGCAGGAGCAAGATCTTTGACAGGGAGAAGCATAGAGTTGGGTGCCAGGGCTGCTGGACATCAGTGGAGGTGTGTAAGGCCAGAGACAGGGTTTCTGTGATGTCAAGTGTCATGTTGGACACTGGGAAACGCAACAAAATCCCCTCCTGATCCCTGCCATGGAGAAGTGTAGGTCCCAGCCCAAAGAGCTTTGGGCATCGCTTCCTTTTATATACATTTTTTGGACACTGGCTTAGTCCTTGCAGCAGGGAGTTGCACAGGTTTGGTGACGCAGTGGAGCAAGGGAACATGGCCGAGGTGCTGTTGTATCTCCCAGTTGAGGTGCCCCAGCTCTTCCAGCTGCCCACTCTTCCATCCTCCCTGGGAGCAGCCCCAAGCTGAGCCCTGCATGTCATGTTCCAGCCAGCCGTATGTCCTGGTCTGGACATCGCTGCCTGATCAACCATTAGTTCATAGGAAGGGCTGAAGGAAAACCGTGTGGCTTGGTGGGGAAGTGGCAGAGATGTGTAGTGGCAGCAGGACTGGAAAGTTGTGGCATTCCCCTTGTGTTGAGGATTTGCATTTTAGGTGTCGCACAAGAGGCTGGGGTTTGGCTGGAGCAGGGATGGACAGGTTGCCTGAAAGGAGCAAGGAATGCTGTGGTCTCCCACTGTGCATCCCTTGGGCTAGCAATGTAGGTAGCTACTAGTCTCTGGTGCTGTGTTGGTCCGTAGCTGTGACCTTGGGGCTTTTGCTCTGCCTCCTGATGGTCCAGCTTCTCTGAAAGCATTTGATGGCCTGCATGTGGGCTGGCTGGGGGGCAGGGGGTAAGGAAAGTGTTAATTCCGCCTTCCATGGGGAGGTCACAACTGTTTGCAGTGGGGAGGAGAATGCCCTCCTGTGCAGAGCAGGCTGGGAGAGGTCAGCCCCAGGAGGATCGGCTGAATGAGATGGGGAGTGGAGATCCTGGGAGGGAGACAGCAGCCATCTCTATGCTGTCCTGACCCTGCCCGTGAGCCCAAATATGCCTCTGAGTCGAGCCCAAGGTCTAGCACAGGCTTTGGCTAAGCTGCAGGGATCCCAGTATGCCTGTGGTGTGGGCAGGCTAGGTACAGGCGGCAGCAGCAGCAAGCTGCAAGGTAGCCATCCCTCACCAGTGCTGTGCGGTTTGGGCATGCCTGGGGTGCTGATGGTTGGCACCATGTGCCAGGACTCACTGCAAGCAGCCTTGTTCTGAGCATCAGACAGACTGCTTCTGTGTGTGCAAGCCCTTTACCAAAGCTGAAAAGGGTATTTTTGGGTGTTCTCAGGTGTGTTGGAGTCCTCTGAGCTGTGTGAGCGAAGAGGAGGGGTGCTGCTTGTATCTCCTGTGTCCCCTATCCCCTTCCTATTGGGAATCAACATAAAAAGCGGTCCAGCCTCTGCAGCCTGTGCAGGGGTGATGGTCTGTGAGAGCAGCCTTGGAGGGAGGTGCTGAGCTGACGCTGACATGAGTGGTGTGTGAGGTATTGGTTCTTACACTTCACCTGGGATGAGCAGTTGAAAGCAGTGCTCTGGAAGTTGAAAGCTCTGTCTGTGGCAGCTGCACCCGAATTACACAGCCCTGAAACCATCCACAACCACTGGATGGCTGCCTCAGGGAGGTAATTTGGGTCTCACATCCCTGTAGCTCCACAGGTGTAGCCTATGGAGCAGGAGGCGCCTGATAAATCATCTCTGTGAACAAAGCCGGATGGCAGGTCAGGCTCCCCCAGCACCAGCCCTTCCAAGTTTCCCTTTCTTCTTCTTCCTTGCTCCAGGGGAAATGCGGCTTTCCTGGTGGGGCTCTCTTGTTACAGTTGCATGCCCCATTAGCTATCTGAAATGGGTCAGAGCTTCAGATCATGTTCAAGGTTAATGGAGGTTTTGCAGCTTGATCATAGTGAAGCGGATCTTCTATGTTTCCCATGGACTCTCCAGATGTGGAAGCATCTGGTGACTGTGGCAGGACAGTGATTCGATCCAGATGTTGGGACTCTCACTGTTCTGCTGCAAAGGTAAATCACTTTCCCCTGTGAAAGAGCAGCATCACCCCTGCCTGGACTGGGCTGGTGTCTCTTAGACCTGTTCTACAGCTAAACTGGGTGATAGAGATGGTGGGGGTTGAGGCTTTGGGGCTGTTGAGTATCCCGGACTGGCTCCAGAATGGATGTGCCTGGTGCAGTGGCGTGGCATGCTCCAAGCCTGTATTTGGTGCTGAGCCTGCAGCAGCCTCACCGTGAGTTAAGCCTTATGCAAGGACACTGTAGTTCTTCATAGAAAGCTTCTTCTCTGCTTCTAGAGCCAATGAGCAAGCTCAGAGGTACCCGGAGCCCTTCTGCAGGTGAAGTGCAGGCTGAACATCAGCTTGTTCTCTGGAATTGCTCTGCTTTTTCCAGGATCTATTAAAAATTAACAGCAGAGACAACTGCTCTCCAAGCTGAGAGCAGGGAGGACAGGACCAAGACCAAACAGCCGAACACCCAAACTGCAACCCTGATGTACGAGCAATCCCTTGTGTATTTAAAGTATGGGGGGGAAAAAAGCAGCATGTCATTCTAGTGACGGGTTTTGCTGCTGGTTTCTGGGAGCAGAGCAAGGAACCTGCTCTCTCTGCCACTCATTGCAAGGCTGAAACTCACCCCCCCACCTCCAACTTTCTCAGCAGCTCTCTGTGGCTTTAGGATTCTTCTTCCCATCGGTAGGTTTCTTCAGAACTTGATACCTGCCCCTGCTCACCGCAGAGATGTCGATATACCCACTCAGCTTGTCCTTGCTTATCTGTTAAATGAGCACTTCTGAAGCCCACTAATGACACAGACCTGTTGGGATGGGGTTTTAGCACTGCTCACCAAGAAAAAGTGGTAAGCACAGCTGATGAGGAGGAAAAGCACATAGAAGTTGCACACTGTGGGAGACCAGAATTGGGAGGGAAACCCAAGCTGGCTTGATTAGCACTCGGGGTTATGCAGGGACATGAGAGCAACAAAGCAGAGACTTCCCTGCAGAAATGAGATTGTCAGATGGGAACGGATGCTTCGGGAGAAGAGGAGTGGAGGCAGTGGCTGCCCTCTATCCAATGAGCAGCACATCTTTAATGAGGCCTGGGATTGTGTTACCCACTGTTGAGTCTAGCTCCCCTCAAGCCAGGATCTGGTTACACAAGAGCTGCACTGCTTTTACTACTGGTAGCACAGGGATGATGGACTTGCCCACGAAGGATTTTGCTTGAGCAGGGGTGAAGGGAGAGGTCTTCAAGGTGCCTTTATCTTCTCCCCATGGTCTTCTTTCAGTGCCATTCCAAAACCCCAGCTGGGGGACCTCAGCTTGCCCAAATGACCTATGCAGGAGGAAAGGCTGTAGGGCTTTCACAGCTCTTCACCTCCTGATGTCCTTACTGCCATCTCAGATTGGAGATGC